GTTGCTGCGAACTACACGCCGCAAGTACTTTCTGATCACTTTTGTCAGGTTCTGGATATGGCATAACACGATCGGCTTTAACTAACTCAGCGATCACACAGTTAGTGGGTAATGTGATGTCATGGTTAGTTTCGTTTCTTAGTACAACAGGTACTTTGTATGGACCATGTGAAGGTAAGGAAATGAGGCAACAGTCTACAATTATACCCCCTGGTAGAGAACCATTGGTGGGTTGTTCAATGAGTGCATAAGGCTCATGCTTGTTTTGGCTGGGTTGCATAAACCCTTCTAGTAACAGTTTTTTATTTGCAGGGAGAACTTCTTGGGTTCTCCCTCGAAGCTTCACCACACCAACTCGTCCATCTTTGCTTTGTTTTTTTCTGACTGCTAAGGCTTTTAGCACGTGTTGGTACCCATAAGAGAGTGCCTTGGAATCAGGTAAGTTATTGGCAGACAATTGCTCATACAAAGGATCGAGTGTGTTTGTGCCAATGAGTAGTGGTGTATCAGAGTTTGAGCTTATATCCGGAACCACTAACGCAAGGGTAGGTAACTCAAGTCCAGACTGATCAAGCTCTTTTGGAAATGTGACACTTATCTCTATGTATCCTAAATAAGGAACTGCTTGACCGTTTGCGCCCTCGACTTCTAACAGATTACTGATGGGTTTAATTGAGAGGTCAGGTAAGTGTTCTTGGTAAAAAGAATTGGCAATGGTGGTTACCTGGGACCCTGAATCCAGTAAACAATTACATTCAACACTGTTAACTGAGACTGTAGCTGTGCATCGCCCACCCACTAATCTTTTGGGAAGTTTTGGCACTGAATGAGCATGAACTGGCTTGCAAAAAAGTCTCTCTGTCCTTTCCTTAGAGGGACTTGGTTCTACTTTAGCACCTATCTGTCCCACGATAGGAGCTTCTACCGGTTTAAAGGAGGAGACTGAGCAATTGGCTTTGACATCTCCCACTCGCGCTGCTTCTGTCTAAGAGCAAGTCTTTTAGTTGCAACTAGTGCTGGATTTGGCTCGTTGCTACAGCTAGAAGCTATGTGCCCATCTTCTCCGCACTTAAAACAGTATCCAGGCTTTGGTCTAGGCACCACTGCTGTTATCTGCTGAATCTGTTTGGGCTCATCTGGAATTTTAGTCCCCACACGGGGTTTTGACTCTTTTTGAGTTTTCTTTGCCTTTTTATCTGTGTTGTTAACCTTAAGCTGTGCAATTTGGCTCCTGAGCTCAGCGATTTGTTTGCGTAAGTCATCACAGTTATCATCTATTTCCAGTTCACAAGTGTTTTTACTCTGAGAGCATGTTGTTTGCACATTTGAATACACTCTAGTTCGTTGTGCCCCTAAGTGTTGTTTCATGCGTGCTGCTTTAGTAGCCTGTTTGTCTTCTTCAGTGCGCAGTTTGAGGAGAAGTGCTGTAAAATGAGGCGGGTTGTCTTTCTTTTGTTCGAGTTGCAGGTTTGAAATCAGCGAGCTGTCCCAACAGCCTCTGCAAAACTGCTTGAGCAGCTGCTGGTCGGCGTCACTGGAGGAAATTCCATTCCTCTGAATAACTAGGTTTAACAAGGTGTATAACCTCTGAAAGTAATCGGAAGGTTTTTCACCACTGTCCTGGTTTGTGTTTAAGAAGCGAGCAAAGAGCTCGTCGCCGTCTTCGACAGCTGCGTAAGCTGAATCGAGATGTTCAAGGTACGTTTCCGGGTCGGATTTTGGACTAAGAGCTTTAACGATGCTCGCTGCTGGGGCTGACAGACTCTCCACGATTCTTCGTACAATTTGGGACTTGGTGAGTGAAGGATCATTTATGCATAACACTACACTACTACGCCAAGTATCATAGTCAGTTTCAAAAGAAGGGTGTGGAACTCGCCCTGAGAACGGTTTTAGTCTGTATTGTGAAGTAGGCGGAGGGATAACCTCACTGCTTTTAACAATGTGTTCCACAATAACTCGCTGAACCTCAGGTGTGTTTAAAAGATTTGGTGGAATGCAAGGGTTTTGTTTTCCAGTCTCTGTAGGTGGACAATTGTCCTTTGAGTTGTTCATATAGTTAACTTCTGGTGTTAAAGGCAGGGAATATGTAACTTGGTCACTATGGAGCATTGGCTCTAGTTCAGTGACTGGTTCAGATGCATGGGTATCCCTTCCTAAAGATTCCCCAATTTTTGCCAGTTCCTCCATTAGAAGGTCTTTAAATGATTGATTGCTACGCGCAGCTATGTCCCTGAGCTCTGACAGATAGGCATCAGTGGCAGATGTGCTAGTTTCTAGACTGTACGCGCTGGCTAGGTCTTGAATATGGAAGAAAACATCTGGGTTCCTAGTACAAGGTTTGTCATAGGGTAAACATTGTTTCTTTAATTCCTTAACAGTGGCTTCATGTTGAAACTCCACAATAATCTGATCACAGTTTGGTAACTTAATGCGCCTGTTAACTGGTCCGAATCCTTCCATAAACCCAAAGACTTCGTTATCAAGGTCTGTATCAGTTAACCCACTGATTAAAACAGCATTTGAAACTTTGACCTTTTCTGTTTTCACAACTTCCATTTTAAAACACTCAAAAGTACCAATAATGCCAAAATGGCAAACCACTGTGACCTCCAGGCACTCTTATGATGTCAGTCAATGGTTAGCTAAGGTAACAACTCTACAATTCTCCTGGCTGGCTCGCCAAGTTTTATGTAACCGGATTACAGGATACAATAAGATAATTAAAAGAAAAAATAAACAAATGGGCCAATAATTAGGTTCGGGGAGAATTGGAGGTTGTTTAAGAATGACTGGAGTCACGGGTATAGCATGAAACGGTTTATATACTAAATTTTAATAATAATGGGAAATATAACACATAAAGATAACACACAAAAACAGATGAAAACAATCGACAATAGTAAATTGGTCGGTATGAGATTTGATCATATGAGTCACAAGTCAGCCGGCGTCAAGTCAAATCCCCACGCTTGGGGTGAAAGTCAGAGTCCGGTGGTGCGATTTTTTCCTACCACACCGTTGAGATTGTTCACAGAAGAGAGCAGTCTGCTCTTCAATTACTTGAGATGTCCTGGTTCGTTCAGTGGTTAAGGCTCGCCATCTCCCTCGTCAGGAAGAAATCCAGTTCTCGTTCCAAGTGAGTGATCATAGGAGTCGGGATCAAACCCAAGGAAAAAAAAAAAACCCAGCCTGTAAACAACAGGACTGTTAGCAAGTTGGCATCGACCCTTCTCGTCACATCACAGCATAAAGTCTTACAGACTTAAACAAATGCTTCACTCTATTGGCATAGCCAATCATGTTTGGGTTCACAGTTCAACTAACATAACATCAATTTGATTGTCTATTAAAATAATTCTCAGTAGCTCTGGAAATATAATTACATATGACAACAATTGTTCAGCTCAATAGGCTCAGTTAGATTCTATTACTCTACACTATTCGACAAGAAATACATTCATGACAACAAGGATACATTTAGTTGTGTTTCTATACAGCATTGTGACACCTTGTATATCTGTAACACAATAAATAAATAAATAAATAAACAAACAAATAAATAAATAAATAAATAAAATTTTCTATAACAAAATTAAACAAAATATAAATTCTGGTCCTTTGGTCCACCTTTGTAAAATAATTCCTCCCTAATCAGTTAGCTTCTATTTATTTTTATTTATCTATTTTTTTTATTATTAAATGTTTGGTTAAGGGACGCATTGCTAATTCTATGGCGTTAGCTATAACGCCCCTGAGGACCTTGTACATCTAGGCCGTACCACCGTTAACTGGCGGTTTGAGCCGTTAACTCCTGGGAATCCCATATGCCGTACCGCCGTTAACTGGCGGTTTGAGCCGTTAACTCCTATATGCCCTACCACCGTTAACTGGTAGTTTGAGATGTTAACTCCTGGGATCTAACGTCTAGCAACCCACTGCTGTCACCTCGGTTGCTGTAATTAGCTTTTTGAATTTAATAATTTACTGAATTTAATCTCATTCACTCACCAACGCGCTCCAACGGTTCCCTCCTACAGAGGATTGGTTCACTCTGTCGTCTCCACGCAAATCTATAAGAATGGAATTAATTTGATAAGCTATTTAAGTTTCCTTTTTTTTTTTTTTAAGTTGCATCGTTAGCTTTTTCTCTTCTTTTTTCTTTACTCACCGCGTTGGTTCCAAGTTCCTAGCTCTTATTAGAAGGAGTCAAGTCCGCCTCTCCCTCTATCTATGCGGCACCCAAATCAGGGTTCTTCACGGCCTCGACCGTTGTTTTTTTTTTCTCTCTCTCTCTCTCTCTAACCGCTCAGTCTTTGCTTTCTGTATCTGCGTGCTGCACAGCCGTTTGTCTCTCCTCTCGCTCAGCTGCGTCGCACGGTTTTATTTCGCGGAGGCGGGACTTATTTCTCTCAGCCAATGAAATTTCAGATTCCCACCTGGACCAATAGTATACAGCTTTCCTCTTCGGTTTCTGTTAGTGATGTTCAAGATTCTTGTTTTAACCGATGTTTAATATTAAACTCGTTATTTTAGTTATTCACCCTTCCAATAATTCATTATGAAATTATCTATTAGTTAATTAGATATCTATTAATTAGTATTGTTAATTTCCTTAATTTATATTTTATATTTTATCTAAATTGAGGATGGATCATATTAGTAAGCCAATTAGTTAATACCTCATTAAGGTTCTAGCTTCTGGGTTACATTTACTACAGCTGTTTCAGCAGAGCTCCATGTGAAACGTCACCAGCTGCCCAGGGCTTAGACCGGAAGTTACTTTCTGTTTTTCAAGCGCCGGTCACAAACATCAGATTTTCTTACAATTCCAGCCGTCAAAATCCCAAAACCTTTTTCCTCTGAGGTTTTAATACACATTTACACATGCTGTTCAGAGGAGTTTAGCCTCTGGCCGGTATCTTTAAACTCGGAACATTACTGTTTCTTGTGGGTTGTACGACCTTATTAACACATTTTTATTGGCTGTAATTTGGCAGGATGTGAAGGAATGGAACATTTGTCGCTTGGGTACCATTTTGGATACCGTGGAACATGACAGTGGCATCACTATAGAGGGAGTTAACACACCCTACCTGTATTTTGGTATGTGGAAGACCACCTTCGCATGGCACACCGAGGACATGGACCTCTACAGCATCAACTACCTGCACTTTGGAGAGCCCAAATCCTGGTAAAGATGAGCGCACTCTGATAACTCACAGCAGCAACGCTCATCGTGCTGCCGTGTTTTCACACACTGAGCTGATGAAAGCTTTCACTCACACGCCTCAAATCCTCTGAGGGCTGCAAATCCGTTTGAGTGGCCGCTGCCGTCTGTCCGCATCCACGTTGGGTAGTTGTAGTTCTATAAAGCACAGTGGAAAGTTAAGTTTCAGGTTTAAGGAAAAACTTGAAGCATGTGTCCTTCATGGGCTGCCATAGCATCATGCCGGCTGCCTCTATAGCTGCTTTTACAGGACCGTAGTGTTTGCACAACGGGACTTACCGCGGCTCCCTGGGGAGGATTTTGGCATTTATAGTAGCAAAGCTGAAGCTAGAATAAACCGCCATCAGGCGCCGCTCAAACCAAGACGGGATACAGGGAGGTCGCTGGCCCCCCCCCCCCCAGCATGTGACGTACAGGGCATTCAGTGTCAGACGGGTGAAATTCCTTCTTCAAGGCCTTTAGCTTTAATGTGACCTGCTTTTTGTCCCGCTTGACGCCCCGCCCAGCCGGTGTTTTCACCACTCTGTCGAACAGCTGGCTGTCTCTCACCGTCCTCGTAACAAGGCGACTAGTCTGCTCGTCCTCTCGCTCGGCCAGAAGCTCCATGGTCTCCGTGTCCGTCCAGTTTGCCATGTTGTGGGTGGTTGAAAGATACTAGTGAGAGGCCATGTTTATCTGTGTTTATATCCCTTCCATCCAGACTTCTTAGTGAAGCTGACAAGGCATGAGTGGAAAACACCTAGGAGCATTTTGATGGCTGTACGATGGGCTCGACACACGGGAGGCGACATCGCCTCTCCATTCGTTTCTACCAGACGTGCGATAATCGTGGGTCTCCCTCCTGCTAAGTGACGTGCGTGTGAACGCTCGTGTGTGTCGTGCTCAGGCGAGTCAGCGACGCGACCCCAGGAAGTTGAAAATGTTCTACTTTCCATCGCTGTCGCTCGGACAAGGACCAATCAGCGGAGGTTTCACTCACTGACCAATGAGCAGACGGGATGCTTCTCAGTGCAAACATGTTTGTAAGTGTATCTAGGGCAATAGCAAACCTGAATAAAAGACATTTGTGTATTATATAACAGCTTTAATAACCCAACGTTGCCTCCAGTCTGAACAGCGGAAGACTCGCTGTTCGCCCTGGAACGGCGCGCGTCGCTGGCTTTTGCCGTAGTCAGAGTGACGGTGACGAGTTTCGTTGATCACGATGGTTTGTTGCCTTCCGTGTGTCGAGCCCATAAGAAGGAATCAGTTGTTTGTTTCAAACATCACAGGCTGAAAGATGCTAAAGTGGATAACAGAAGCTCACTAGTGTTTCCTTGCTACTCTGCAGGTATTGTGTTTCCCCAGAGCACGGGAAGAGGCTGGAGCGTCTGGCCAAAGGTGGGTGTGTCCTCTAAAGCTTCCGCACAAAACTGCTGACTCACTGTCGATCTTCAAGTGAAGCCTCAGTAAAGGCTGTTCAGTGCAAATGTCTCATCTCTGCTTACAAGCTCTAACGAATCTGATCCCACTTGGCACAGGAGTTAAAGACTAAGTCACCCCCCATACCAGAGTCTTACTCCACTCCCACTTCCTGTTTGAATAATGCAAAAGATGGCTGCTGCCTGGCAGGCCAAGAGGGCGGAGTCGCTAACAAACACACACACACACAGAGGCTGAACGGCATTGTGACATCATATGGTACCAGCTGACGTCGTAGGTACCTCTTAGCCAATAGCAATGGAAGATTGAAATTAAATTACAGTGCAGAGTTTTCACCTGAAGGCGGCGCAACGCTGACAGTTTTGGGTTGAAAGTGAACTAAGATGCACTAAAGTGCCAAGTTACTGACCGCACATGTCTACAGCACCATTAGACACTCATTCATATAGCTGATCAGCAAGAAAAGGTTGATTTGGGGTGACTTGCTCTTTAAGTGCTCGCCTCATAATCGGAAGGTTGCAGGTTTGAGCCCCACTCAGTCTGTCGCTGTCGTGGTGTCCTTGGGTAAGACACTTTACCCCCCCTTGCCTGCTGGTGGTGGTCGGAGGGACCGGTGGTGCCCGTGTACGGCAGCCTTGCCTCTGTCAGTACGCCCCAGGGCAGCTGTGGCTACATGGTAGCTCATCCCCACCAGCGTGTGAATGACTGATGTGCTGTGACAGATCATCTGCTGCTGTGGCCCCCAGACTCTGGACCTCTCCCCGTGAGCCTGAGATCAGTGGACTCAGTGGTCTCCTTTAAACTCGCCTGTTGAGGCTTTGGCGGGGCCTTCTTCACCTCCCTCTCCTGGTTCTGCTCTTGTTCCTCCTTTCCCGGGATCCACTGGTTTCCTAGCCTGGCCTGCCAGACCCTCCTCTGATTAATTCTGCACAGAGAGTCTGGTAACTCACCGGCAGAGAGGCACATGAGGGGCGGGACTAGGCAGCTCAAAAATAACCAATCAGAAAAAAGACTGAAATGTTGACTGTACCGCGCGACGCTGTAGTTTTTAGCTGTAGTCAAAAATGGCGTCTGGCAACGGCGCAGACATTCTTCTTCAGAAGAACGGCTTTTAGCGCTTCTACTTGTGGTTTTAAAGATGTTCAAGTCAGTCGGAGCAGACGACAGAGCCGCCGCGAACTCCGCTTCAGACACCATGTTTATGACCATGTGACCCTAACCCGTACTCAGCGCTGATTGGCTCGGTTAGAATTCTCAGGGGGCGGGGTTATTGAATAGGAGCGTCCCCAGACCCTCTCTCTGTGTGCAGGACTAAACAGAGGAGGAGTCTGGCAGCCAGGCTACAGGTTTCCCTCTTTCCTCTTCATCTCCTCTCTCCCTTTCTTACATTTAATCACAGTTTCTATTATTTTTCTCTCATTTTAAACATATTTTTAATCATTTTCTTTTTATACTTTAATTATTTTTTGTTAAGCGTCCAGTTATTTTTATCTTGAGAGGCTCTATATGTAAAAGATTGTTTTCTTTCTTTGTAAAGTGCCTTGGGGGGTTCCAGGGCTCTAGAAGGTGCTAAATCAACTACAGGCCATTTACCAATCAATAAACTGTTGTCGTCTCAACCCCGTGCATGGAGTGTCCGACCTCACCATCCTTCTACATACGCGGCGCGTGTACATCTGTCCATCTAAGGCAGCCCACGGTCCAGCTGGAGGCCCTTCTCCTAGCTGACATGCTACCTTCGCACATCAGATCGCAGTTTTCTCTGTGGATGAACGTGAGATGGGAACATTTTTGGTGAATAGTAATTCAGGAAGACGCGGGAATAAGGAGTAAAACAGTTTACAGCTTTTAAAACGGGAGACGTGACGGGTGTGATCCAGGGTTAGGGTCAGTGACGACTCGCACAGCACAAGTCCTCTCCCGGTTCCGACTCCTCTGAGTGTGCATGCTGCTCACACTGGACAGAGTGATGGCGTGTGTGCACAGCCACACAAAAACTCACATTTATTAGTGATTTCCATAACACCCAACAAACTGGACTGGAGCGTCGGGGCCTGCAGTCTGAGCGTAGCCTTAAAGAACTAGCGTTCCTCTCTGCTGTGGTGGGTGGCTACATGCACACCTTCAGTAGGCGTTCTTCCCGTTAGCCCGTAGCCAACGTAGCAAAAGATTTCAGTACGTCAGACACCGACATCAGAAAGACCCAAAGCAGCACACGCAGTAAAGTTCACAGTGAGCAGGAAGATGTGGATGCATGGCTTCATCACAGCGCACATCGTTGTCAGCGCTGCTGGATTTCGTAGTCCTGCTTATGCAGAGGGGAGTGAGGGTAGCGTGATCTTCACGTCTGAACCGGGTGAAGCCGACGCCAGGATGTAGTGCTGTTGGAGCCAGTTGGCCGTGGACAAACCAAACCAGTTACAGGCTAGCTCTCGCTCCAGCTCTTACCCCGGTTCAGCATCGCCTCTGTTCTCCTGTCTTATAGGCTTCTTTCCTGGTAGTGCTCAGAACTGCGAGGCCTTTCTGAGGCACAAAATGACTCTCATCTCTCCTTCAATACTGAAGAAATACGGCATTCCATTTGAAAAGGTATGTTTGTGTCTCATCTGGAGCTGCAGTTCTGCGTAGAGCTTCACTAACTCCTCTCCCCACACCGCTGCAGATCACACAGGAAGCTGGTGAGTTCATGATAACCTTCCCCTACTCCTACCATGCTGGCTTCAACCACGGCTTCAACTGTGCTGAGTCCACTAACTTTGCTACGGAGAGGTGGATTGAGTATGGCAAGCAGGCGGTTCTGGTGAGGAAGGGCCGGGCCGTCACAGGGGAAGTTCCTCACATGAAGTAACCATCTAACCCCAACCACCATCTGTTTGTCTCGTCAGTGCTCGTGTCGTAAGGACATGGTGAAGATCTCCATGGACGTTTTTGTCAGGAAGTTCCAGCCAGGTCGGTACGAGCAGTGGCTGGCAGGGCGGGATGTGGCCCAGATAGACCACTCCTTACCCACCCCTGAGGCCGAGGAGTTTCTGGGCCACGCTGTCGACACCAGCAGCAGCAACAGCTGCTGCCTCGAGCGCCACGGGGAGGACTGTGAGCGGAGAAGGTTTGAAACTTATTATTATAGATGGTGGAGGAGAAGAAGCACCCTTTCTTTAACCTTATTCTTCCAGTGGTAATTCAGCGGGGGTGAAAGCTTTTTGGCAGGGGCGTGTCTCCGGAGAGCTAATGCTGCAGCGCCCACTATTGTAGTTTGAAGCTCCAGAGCTGTTTAAGGTGGTTGCAGTAACCACAGGATGTCATGTTTACTTCATTTCTACATAATGCACCTTTAAGTTAACGAATAAAGATAAATAAACAACCTGCTAAAAAGCAATAAATGCAGGAGACGACATCTGCTCACTAAAATATTTCTGTTGGAGACGCCGGACCAGCCCCCATCACCCAGCTCCTCTCTCTGTCTCCTTCCTCAGAGCTGAGACGTGTGGCTAGACGAGTCTGCTCGAGTCCCTCTTCACTATGGCGTCCTCCGGCTTGTGTTTGTTTAAGCTGTAGACTAGTCATGGGTCTCAGGTGCACCTGTGAGGTGCCCGACTCGTTAACGAGTGGCTTCTGCATTCTGTCTCTGTCCGTCAGCATGCACAGGATTGAGACCAAAAGACACCGGGTGTGTTTGGAGGTGCCCCGTGAGGTCGTTCCTAAGGATGAAGACGATGCTGAGCAGTACTGTAAACGCCCCCGACTAAGTCTCATACCGCCCCGATCCTCTGTCCCGGATGGCAGAAGAAGTAAAGGTACTCTACGTCCTCTCACAGGTGTAAATGTTTTCAGTGAGACCTAGCTTAATCACTTCCCTTTCTCATGTGAATTCAGGACCTCCAAAATTGGTCGTCACACCAACAAAGTTGACCTTATTGGACCCATTTCGCCAGGGACAGAGAACCGATGACCAATGTCATCCCCGCTGTAATAAGTCTGGTGCTCCTGCAGTACCGTCTCAGGCTAAGGCCAGAAATGGATATTTGTCCGTTTCAGCGGCACCGGCGTGGACAGAAGCTCCTGCCCAACCTGTTCGTAAGATGGGTGTGGCCAGCCTGCTCTTTCACAGGACTCTGAGTCCAAAAGAGACTCTGCAAGTGCACAGCCACACTCTGGAAAAGCAGCGGCAGCCTCCTACGCAGCTCCAGGTCCACAGCTACGCCCGGGAGCATCAACCCCGTCCCCCCCAGAGCAAAACTCCCTCACCGACACAGCTTCAGCCCTCGTCCCAGGCAGCAAACTGTGAGAAAACACAGCCTCAGCCCGAATCCCAGTATGTTCTCACCAAAACCGCACACCATCTGGAGATGCATGACACTGCGGACAAACGTGAAACATCAGTGCCTCGTGAAGGTCGGACAGAGGTGCAGATGTCTGAAGTGGAGCCCGCCGTAGCACCGCCTCCTCCTCAGACCCAAACGCAGCTCCACCACTCTAGCAGAGTTAGGATGGAGGCTTCCACCGCTAGCAGGAGAAAGGTCTGTGCTGTGTGTGTGTGTGTGTGTGTGTGCGTGTGCGTGTGAGGTGGTGGTAAATGCACTAATTATCTGATTGTGTACTGCTGTGTACTATCTGACTATAGCTGGGCTGAGCAGACTCGAGGTGTGGGGAGTTAGATATGTGGACAGGTATCTGTAGACCCACTGAGTGTTATTGCTCACATCTGGGTAACTGCACACGTGCACACCAGCTGGAGGGTAAGGGCCTCATCTCCAGCCGTTATCCAGGGCTGTATCTGCGTTATTTAAGCTAGGGGGGGTGAGACACGTTCTGCTGCTGTTTCTCACCAGCATCAGCTGATGGAGGCCTCTACTCTAGTCAGCGGACACGGTAGTGTCGGGTAGGGGGGAGGGGCATGACCACCGGAGCCGTCAGCAGCGCGAGTCGGCCGCGTCTCAGGAGCAGCATGTCGCGGCCTTTACGCGCCGGTTCTATTTTCTACGCGCGACGCCTCTGAAACGGGTCAAGTTCGACATTTTTGGGGAAGGAAAGACAGGAAATTGGACGCGGAAACGGAGCGAAGCTCCCGAGATTTTCAGAATAAAGAACGTACTGCCTTCCGGTTGCTTTACTTTTAAAAAAGGTTACTAACTGTGCGTCCCCGTGAGAAGTTATCACCTAGCTAGCGGTCTCCTTTGTTTTTCAGGTCCGTATTGGTGATTATAAAACGGACAGAACATAAAACACAAACCATGTTGTAGTTTTCTCCTGCTTGTTGTTGTGTTTACTGACGAAGTCACTCGTGTGACTTCGTGCTCGGTCGGTGACAGCTGCTCCCCTGCTGCTTCGCGTCTCGTGGGAGGGGCCAAGCAGCAGCAGCTGCAGTAACGTGCTGCTGACGGCTCCGGTGGAAAGCCGGGGTTAGCCTGGCGGGTGGCCAGGCTTATTAAACGCTGGGGGAAACTCTGCATCTCAAAGCTAACGGTGTTCAGCACAACGCTTCCAGATCCGTGTGAAATAGCTAACTGGGTTAGGGCTGGGGCCGTCTGGACTTCTCACAGCTGAGCTGACGAAGGTGTAACCGGACGTGCAGGTAAAGGCTGAACGATGGCTGGTGCCGCTCGTCTTTGGAGGTTAACGGATGCTCCGTTTATTCTGACGTAAACAGAAACACATCGACATTAGAGGCTGTCGCTCAAGTACATGACTCAGTTTGTGTTTGTAACGAGACTCTTACCGCGGCTCACACACAACTACACACCACGTCCACGCTTGTCTCCGGACTGGCCAGCCTACAGCTCTCCCCGGCTCCTCACCCCAGCGGTCGTGCAGTTATATAATAAAACACATGAGTCACTAGATGGCTGTAACCTGTTCGTTTCTGGACATGTGGGGCAGATTTTTGACTTTTTATTCTGTCATGAGACTTTTGTCAAAGGGGAGGAGCCTGCTTCTTGCCCTACAGCCTGGGGGGGGGGGGGCACATCATGTCCTGCTCCAGTGGGTCTACAGATTGGCCCCCACCAGCATCTGTAGGTAAAAGTGTCCTTCAGCTGCTCCTGACCCAGGTCTGGCTCTAACTGGGTAGACGTGATGGAAGCCTGAGTTTCTGCTGGGAGCTTGATGCACCAGTAGACGGCATCTCCTGGTGCATGTCTCCTTCAGGCTCCTCTCTGATTCTAATGCTACTAACAACGTTTCCTGGTGGTAAAACCCACCCGCAGTGATCCCCAGCTTTAACTGTTCACCGTGCTGTTTAAACCGCAGAGGAGCGAGTGTCCACTAGTGGACGATGGCTTTGTGGTCCTGATGGACACCATGCCTGTCAGAAAAGCAGGACAGGAGGAGCTGAAGGTGGTTCATCATGTAAGTGTCTCCACACTCTCACAGGAAAAAGCTTGACTTGATTTATTCTGGAAGTGTGTGAAAACCAGTACGGAGGTCCCAGTAGATGTTATTATAATGAGGCTAAGTCCTGCTGTACCCTGTTTGTCCAGCAGGTGTCAGACGAGCAGTCATACTGCAAGTCCTTAGCTAAGAAGCAGGAAGTGCAGCTGTGTAAGCTCCCCCGCCACCACCCTCTGATCAGAGACGCTCCCAGTGATGATGGTACGTATCCGGCCAGACCAGCTGCGTCGTTACCAGAGCATGGCTTTAATTCAGCTGTCTGTGGGCGCGTTTGTGTTCCACCTGTCTGACAGCACGTTACTGTCTGTCTCTGTCTCCAGACACGAACGAAGATGTGCAGGTCTTCCACGAGGAGAAGGAGGAGTGGGCAAAGCCTCTAACGCAGCTGTGGCAGGGCCGGCCGTACAACCCACAGGCTGAGTGGGAGTATAACAAGAGGATGGGCCAGCGGGCTCCGTACTGCTCCATCTGCCTGCTGTTCTACACCTACCACCAGGTGAGCGCCTGCCTTTACGCTCTGGGCCGGGCCTCCACTGCCTGCTGTTATTTTACTAATGTTTTGATGCCTCGGACAACCAGAGGTGGGACTCGGCCTTGTTTTCCACTCTACTCAGGACTTGAGACAGACATGTGGAAGCTTCTAGTCCATTCGGGTCATGTGACCACGTTTGTCATTCGCTTAAGGCTACGCTCACACTGCAGGCAGAAGCTCATCAAGCCCGTATCGGATACTTTGTGACGGCAGCACAGATCTGGTGCAGGTCACTGTTGGCTCTGATACATCAGTGGTGCCGCGCCCTGGCTGGAACCCTGCAGAACCCTGCAGAACCTAGGCTGTGTTTTATCTCTGCAGCCGTATTCATCCTGGTTTTATCTCCTCTCCATCACCGGTTAGGTGTCAGCTGCACCTTCAGTCTCGTACCTGGAACAGGGACGATGACATTAAACACTCATCTTCTCTGTGGGATCCAGATTAACACTGAAATAGCTGATGAGCGGACCTGTTTTGGTTTGTTTCTGTGCAGAAGACCAGTAACGTGAGCGTCCTTCATGTGCACAGGGACCTTTCATTCTAGTGCTCTTGTGTATTTGTAGTAAAGGGCTGTGTTTATCATTAGGTTTGATGTACTAACCAACACTTATAAAACCCAGTTGTGTGGGTCTGAAGAGCCGCAGCTGGTTCTGATCACTAATCCGTACAAAACAAGTCTGAGTTTAGTTCCTCTAACAGCACCGCCCTTTCTTCTCAGACCGAGTCCAGCCTCGGACACTCCAGCCTGGCGGTGGTGACCCGTCCAGGAGGACGTCAGTGGTCCAAACCTCTCATCCCTGAGATGTGTTTCAACAGCAAGATGAGCGACGCTGCGGAGGGACAGCTAGTCAACCCTCACCTGGCAGAAGATGGGACGAGTCGGCTGATCCACTGTGCTCAGTGTTCTGTTCGAGTCCATACAAGTAAGCAGTGGGACTGAAGTACATGTAGGAGTGGACCGGTTCCGGCCCATACTCCACACATCAGCCTGTGTTTAGAAAGCTACCACTCACGCACGCACACACACACGCACGCACGCACGCACACACACACACACACACACACACATATGATGTAAAAGATGACCTCTACATTTCAACATTAGATCGTCCGTGGACCGGTAGAACCTCCGTGACATCCTGGATTAGAAAACGAGTTGAGCTGAGGAGTTACTCCAGCATCAGGACGATTTATTCTGGTAAACTGTCGGTTAAACATTTTCCAGAGTTATATCAATAAATACACACAGCAGTAAAACTGTAGATTACTGAACTATATTGGGACACGTGATGGAGCTAGGACTTAGCCCCGCTCCACGGCAGCGAAACGCTTCAGGCACAAGTAAAAGAATAAAAGACAGAAAACATGAAAGGAAATGAGCCGACATGAACGATCGCGTGTTAAATTAGTTTTTGAGGTGGCGACACCTGATTTGATAATGTTACTGTGGCCGTGCTCAGGACGCAGATGTCTGGAGCGCGTCAACAATCAGAGCTTTGCATGCGTAAGCTGGTTAAGGTTAGGATGGGGGTGAGGGGAAGGTTAAACTGCAAGAGGGTAAAGGTCACAATTCGGTCAAATGTCCGTTTTACGGCGGGTGTCAGTACCGACGCCTCCTGACGCGCAGGAGCTCGTCACCTGCTGTGTTTCCTGAGGACTGCATCTTGTCGCTCATTTTCACGCGACAGCGACTAGTCGACTAGTTCATACAAGCCCTAGTGTTTACATTCATGTATGTTCATTAACGTGCACTGTCCCAACCAAATAAATGAAATTACAGCTGCATATTTAAACAAGTAGAAAAATGAGCAACGATGCTACTTCTAATTATCAACGTAATACTAGCATGTTTCTTATCAATGTACCTTCTTAACAAATGATGTCATTATGACAGAAAAAACAAGGAAATGACAAGTACAGAAATAAAGAAATGTATAGATAATATAAAACGTAAAAAGGACAACTGTTCTCTTTTCCTTTAATTCAAACGCATTCCAGAAGTATCGGATCAGGCTGAAGGCTTTTCTGATGACGGTCCAAATGGAGCTGCTGTTGCTTTAAACTCGGATCAGTGACTGGTTTTTATTGTGCTGCTGTTCAGGCTGCTACGGTGTCTCTGGGGACGAAGCGGAGCTGGACGACTGGCTGTGTGCTCGCTGTGAGGCCAGTGCCATCACAGAGGTTAGTTCACCTTCTACAGAAGAACGAACCAGAGAATCAGAAGCTCAGCGGACATAAAACCAGAATGTCGTGGTTGCTTTCTGTACTGATAGCTTGCAGCAGAGAGTAGTGACTACAGGACTAACACTCAGACTTCCATCCTCCCTCCCTCCTCATTCTCTTCTGCTTATCCGGAGTTGGGTCATGGGGGCAGCAGCCTAATGCGAGAGGCCCAGACTTCCCTCTCCCCAGCCACTTGGGCCAGCTCCTCCGGGGGAATCCCAAGGTGTTCCCTGACCAGGTGAGAGACATAGTCCCTCCAGCGTGTCCTGGGTCTACCTTTAGGTCTCCTCCCAGTTGGACGTGCCTGGAAAACCTCACCATGGAGGCATTCAGGAGGCATCCTGACCAGATGCCCGAGCCACCTCAACTGGCTCCTCTCGATGTGGAGGAGCAGCGGGTCTACTCCGAGCCCCTCCCGGATAGGGATGGGTACCGAAATCGGTACTTTTTAAGGTACCGACCGAATTCCATAGTACCGACCGAGCACCGATTCACGTCATTTCAAACGGTGCCTCGTTTCGGTACCCGTCCATCATAACGAGAACTTGCCATGACAGCTGCGCATGCGCAAGAGCGTTTTGTCGTTGCTTGCTGTGAACCAGTTGTAAACAGAGCAGCATGGTAGAGAGAATGCACGCTAAAGCTTGGGTCCACTTCACTAAATGTGATGGGTAACTGTGTGATGATGAAACCAGCGACAACGATCTAAGTGAGACATCCTCATCTTAATCTGCTCCGGTAGGTAAATATAATTAGCTTGATATGTTAGCTTCCGTTTCGCTAATGGTGCGTTCGCTTTCTCCTCGGAACTCCGAATTTCCGACTAGAACAACATGAACGCGCTCTAAAGTTTGGCTTCACTTTACTAAATGTGACGGGTGAAGACGAAACCAGTGACGATCTAAGTTTGAGGCATCATCGTTTTAATCTGCTCCAGCAGCTAAATAAACTGTTTAAGATATCGTTAGCTTGATATGTTAGCTTCCATTGCTACCATTGTTATCAGCTAATGGTGCGTTCGCTTTCTCCTCGGAAATTCTAACTTCCCAGTGGGAAAAATCAAATGAAAAAAGAGGCAAAAGGAATGAAGATACACAGTAAATTTAGTTCACAGTAAAGATGTTTGCTTCAGTTTAATTATCAGCTTATAAAACTACAAGGACGATGTTAAAATACAAACAGTTGTATGTTATTTATCGTGATATTTATCAAATATTGTTATATATTGAGAAAAATATATATTTAATTATAAAAGAGAATTAAAATAATAAACACTCAAAAGTATCGAAAACTGGTACCGTTAAGTACCGGTATCGATTCGTAGGTACCGGTAATTAGTACCGGATCGATTCAAATGTCAAAGGTACCCATCCCTACTCCCGGATGACCAAGCTTCTCACCCTATCTCTAAGGGAGAGCCCAGCCACTCTGCGGAGGAAACTCATTTCAGCCGCGTGTATCCATGATCTCTTTCTTTCGGTCACTACCCAAAGCTCATGAGCATAGGTGAGGGTAGGAACGTAGATCCACCGGTAAATTAGAGCTTCGCCCTCCAGGATCCCCTAAGGGTATAGAGCTGGTCCAGTGTTTCACGGTCAGGATTAAAACCACATTGTTCCTCCTGAATCCGATGTTCAATGATCCGACAAACCCTCCTCTCCAGAACCCCTGAACAGACCTTACCAGGAAGGCTCAGGAGTGTGATCCCCCTGTAGTTGGAACACACCCTGGGGCCCCCCTTTTTAAATAGGGGGACCGCCACCCCGGTCTGCCAGTCCAGTGGAACTGCCCCTGATGTCCACGCGATATTGCAGAGTAAGCCAACACAGCCATACAACATCTAGAGCCCTAAGGAACTCCGGGCGGACCTCATCCACCCCCAGGGCCTTGCCACTGAGGCTTTTTGACCACCTCAGTGATGGCAGCACCAGAGATTGGAGAGTCCAGCCCAAAGTCCCCAGACTCTGCTTCCTCACTGGAAGATGTGCTGGAATGATTAAGGGGGTCTTCGAAGTATTCTGCCCACCGATCTGCAACGTCCCACGTAGAGGTCAGCAGCACACCGTCCCCACTATAAACAGTGTTGGTAGCGCACTGCTCCCCCCCCCCCCGCCCCCGAGGCGCCGGATGGTGGACCAGAATCTCCTTGAAGCCGTACGGAAGTCTTGCTCCATGGCCTCATCGAACTCCTCCCATGCCCGGGTTTTTGCTTTGGCGACCACCCGAGCCACGTTCCCCTCGTGCCGCCGGTACCCGTCAGCTGCCTCTGGAGTCCCACAGGCCAAAAAGACCTGATAGGACTCTTTCTTCTGCTTGACAGCATCCCTAACCGCCGGTGTCCACCAGCGGGTTTTGGGGTTGCCACCACGACAGGCACCGACGATCCTGCAGCCACAGATCTGGTCGGCCGCCTCAACAATGGAGGCACAGAACAGGGGCCATTCGGACTCAATGTCCCCCGCCTTCCCCGGAACATTTGAAAGTTCTGTCGGAGCTGGGAACTTCACGGGGGAGGTTTTAACACCTGACACACAGGTACCCTCTAATCAGCCCCTTGATATGCCACGCCTGTGAGGGAGGATGGATTATGATGGTGAAGGAAAAGTGCGCACTAACACACGTGTAGACAGATTTCAGAACAATACCTGAGAGTCATGGGTCTTTAGTGCGTGTAGACACATGTTCAGATGGTTGAGTACCCGCTGTATGTTTAGGGTTAGACCTGATGAGGTCATAATTCAAACAAACGGACTAAAAGAGGGTTTTGTGTTTTTTTCCAGGACTGCTGCCTGTGCTCACTAAGGGGGGGGGCTCTGCAGAGAGCCAACAACGACAAGTAAGTTGATGTCACAGAAACAACACGGAAGCTCTTTTATCTAAAAACATGATCAAGATGTTTCTTTAAGGATGTTTGCTCCTCTTTACTCTCAAACACGTCTGAGATGTCCATAAATATACTCTAGCCATGTAAAGATGGCGTAACCTCTAAGCAAATATCAGAACACACCAACCATCTGACAGGAGGAAGACTGAAGCCTTCAGCAGGTATCAGGTAAACATCCGTAAACCAGCAAAACGCTCGTCGTTATAAAGGAAAATGATTCATAACGAAGACAAAATGAACGTTTTAAATCCATCCCACAGGAAGAAAGTAGAAACTCCAGCTCTCCTCTGCACAGTCAGGCATGTGCGTTTTCATTGTGGCTAATAACCTGCCGGGCTTAGAAAAGGTCACACACTGATGGACCGCCTTTAGCTGGGACTACGACACACACTCGCTGTGGCGTTGATTCGATACGGTTCTGTAGCTTCAACAGGTTAATCTCCATCCAGCGCTGCGTTAATGTGTCACCAAGATCTTTACTGATGATGTAGTCTGACTGCTGCACAAAGCCTTCTCCAGCACATCCCAAAGATTCTCAGTGGGGTTAAGGTCTGGACTCTGTGGTGGTTGATCCATGTGTGACCTCATTGTTGGAGCACTTCCTGTTGCTGAACCTAGACCTGACCACCTGCAGCAAGCCCAGATCATAGCCCTGCCCCCACAGGCTTGTACAGTAGGCATCACTTCATCTGTCTCTCTTCTTACCCTGATGCGCCATCACTCTGGACCAGGGTCCATCCGGACTCATCAGACCAGTTTTAATAAAGCGTTGGACAGTTCTGAAGTCGTTTCTCCTCAGATGTTTTCTCTGCCTGATGCCGATGATCTGACCCTTCTCACACAGACGGACATCTTCTCCCCCACCAGACGTGTCTTTCAGCATGGCTGGTTAAGAAATGAGAAGCAGCTCGTTGCACCAGTTGGGTTAAAGCACTTATTGCAGCCGAAGGATGATCACCCATGCAGTAGTTATCCAATAGGAGGCTCGTGTCTGTCTCCTTAGTTAAACCCAGGTGGGGACGGTTTTTTAGTTAAGCTGTCTAGTTTCCAGGCAAAACCCAGAAACCAGAATCTGATGCAAAAGTCCATTTATGTCAGTAATCCAGCTAGGGCTGCAACAACGAATCGATAAATTCGATGGAAATCGATTACTAAAAGCGTTGGCAACGAATTGCGTCATTGATTCGTTGTGTTGCGCAACTCTTCCAAAAGCGACCCCCCCCCACCCCCCCGGCCGCCATTGCGCACAGACCGGAAGCAAGTTAGATCAGCACGAGGGAGAGCCGGCAGGTGTTCGGAAGAGGAACACGGCGGAAGCAGCGAGACCCAAAATAGTAAAAACTTCTAAAGTTTGGGAGCATTTTCAGTTAAATCAGGCGAAGACATTCGTTACCTGCAACGTTTGTAGGTCAGACTTAGCATGGCACGGGAGTACTACGGTGATGATGCAGCATCTTAAACGCAAGCATGTCAGAATCATCAGCGAGGAGGAAGAGAGCTCGGTGTCCGGGTAAGTTAAAAACTTTTCAAAAGTGATTCACCCAAGCCCCGGATTATTACACAGGCTAGACATGCCCTAAGCTCGTAAAAAAAAAAAAGTCTATAAAATCGTAAGCGCGACGCTATTAGATGGGGGGGGGGGGGGGGGGGGGGGGGGGGGGGGGCTCGCGCTGCTGCTAACCGGTTCCGCCGTCACATTCCCGCAGAAACTGGTTGATCACACCGGGGCCAGACTACTAGCATGTGGCTTTACAACCACAATGTCCTCAGAAGCAAAAACGCTTTTAAAAGGGAGGGAGGAGTCCTAACTGTTGCTGCAGGCGTGTTGTGTGAGAGTGCAGTTATATACTGGTTAATATATTTTTGGGTTCAGTTGCTTTCATGTGGCCTAATGCGAGTCTATTTGGGATCATTGGAATGATCAGCAGCATTTCTTGATGTGACTTCATGGCAGTTGCCCAGGGCATCATCGCAAGGAGGATGGCATTCATTTACTTTTGTTTTATTTGGTATTTTTCAGTCATTTTTGGAAATAGTGATCAATTTTGATTAATTCACAGCCGATGTTTAATTACATTTAAAAATTAGTTGTTTGACATCCCCAATTATAATAAATGTCTACAGATGAGATCAAACAAAACAGATGAGAATTGCCCTTAAAGAGCAAGTCACCCCCAAATAAACTTTTTTTTGCTGATAAACTAAATAAACGAGTGTCTAATCGTGCTGCAGACACGTGTCGTCAATAATTTGGCACTTCAGTGCATCTTAGTTAAAATTTAAATATTCTGCCTAAAACTGGCAGTGTTGTGCCGTCGTCAGGTAAAAACTCTGCACTGTATTTTAATTTAAATCTGCCACCGCTATTGGCTAAGAAGTATGCTATGATGTAAACTGATACATTATGATGTCACAATGCCGTCGTGAGCCTGAGTGTGTGTGTATTTGTTAGCGGCTCCGCCCTCTCGGTCTGCCAGGCAACAGCATGTGTTGCATTTTTCAAACATGAAGTGGGAGTGGAGTTAGACTCTGGTAGGGGTGACTTGCTCTTTAAGCTGTTTAACTTGGACCAAGCATTTTAGGTCACAGATAGGTGTAGCTTAGGGTCTCTGTCTATACACCTTATAAGACAATTTAGGTGATGGCATGTTGTTTTTCTGCTATTGAACTGTTTTCTAATAATGTTGTGTTTAATAAAATGAAGGAAGGAGAGAAATAACGTTTCCCTAGCAGTTTTTAACAATGTCCCTATGTAATCCGATTAATCGATTAATCGTGTCGAGACCCCATCCGATTCATCGATTATCCAAATAATCGTTTGTTGCAGCCCTAATTCCAGCTCAGGAACCCTCTGCAGGTGTTCTGCTTTCATCAGCTGATTAGGGTCTAACACTTTTGACTCTATAATATTCTAATTGTCTGAGATGGTGGGGATGTTATGAGCTGTAACCCATATTCACCTAGGGATGGCTACCTTTCACATTTCAATCGATACGGCACCAACTCCCGGTACCTAGGACTCCATACCGATACTTAACAGTACCAATTTTTAATACTTTTGAGTACATAGTAGTTACTGATGTTTTTAAATGAAAAAAAAAAAATATATATATATATTCCCAATATATGATCATATATTCCTATATATCTGAAACAGCATTTAAAGGCAGACTAGGCAGGTTTGGCTTGCTTTTAGCACCCCCTGGTGTCTGTTGGGGGTTCCAGGACTCCAGAATAGGGCTGCAACAAACGATTATTTGGATAATCGATTAATCGGACGGGGTCTCGACACGATTAATCGATTAATCGGATTACATGGGGAAATTTTTAAAAACTGCTAGGGAAACGTTATTTCTCTCCTTCCTTCACTTTATTTAACACAACATTATTAGAAAACAGTTCAATAGCAGAAAACCAACATGCCATCACCTAAATTGTCTTATAAGGTGTATAGACAGAGACCCTAAGCTACATCTATCTGTGACCTAAAATGCTTGGTCCAAGTTAAACAGCTTAAGGGCAATTCTCATCTGTTTTGTTTGATCTCATCTGTTGACATTTATTTTAAATGTAATTAAACATAGGCTGTGAATTAATCAAAATTGATCACTATTTCCAAAAATGACTGAAAAAATACCAAATAAAGCAAAAGTAAATGAATGCCATCCTCCTTGCGATGATGCCCTGGGCAACTGCCATAAAGTCACATCAAGAAATGCTGCTGATCATTCCAATGATCCCAAATAGACTCACATTAGGCCACATGAAAGCAACTGAACCCAAAAATATATTAACCAGTATATAACTGCACTCTCACACAACACGCCTGCAGCAACAGTTAGGACTCCTCCCTCCCTTTTAAAAGCGTTTTTGCTTCTGAGGACATTGTGGTTGTAAAACCACATGCTAGTAGTCTGGCCCCGGTGTGATCAACCAGTTTCTGCGGGAATGTGACGGCGGAACCAGGGCCAGATTAACACTTTGTTGTACCCTGGGCAACAATATTCAAGGGCTCCATCATCACGACCCGAGGATCACCATAATGTGGTCACATACAGAATATTTTACTGTAATATGCAGTAAATATACTCAATACTTGAATGCCTGACAACACGTAACCCGCCCAGAGTAACCTTTGACCCACCTCGTGTGGACTGACCAATGAGGAGAGGGTCTTAACTTGAGGCCCTCTCTTCAATGGTCAGTCTGCATGAGACTGACTCTCAACTGACGTTCAGTCATAGGCAGCGAAGCGTCTCTGTGCAGCGCAAAAGCCCGGGTGGACAGTTTGTTTAATGTAGGGTGACCATATTTCCATTTCCAAACAAGAGGACAGGGGATCTGTGCCTATGACGTCACACTATGGCAACACCACACAAACCATGTTGGGACCCATTTTTTGTAAGAACTAAATTAATATCAGATTCTGCCAATAAAAGGGCTCTAAAACAATTCATATGTAAATATTTTGCATATTTAATGCAAAATCTCATTTTTCTGCTTTAGTGCTGCAACAAGGTTTTATTAATAATAAATTATTATACCTTTTGTTTTACTACATCATCGGTACGCTTCCTGTGCACGGATTATTAAGGATGCTTGTTTCAGCTGTGAGATTAGACGATAGGATCAATGAAAAAATAAGTTGTCACACACTCCATGGAAACTTTCAGATAATCCACAAATAGTGGCTTTCATTGGTTTTGTTACTAGGGCTGCAACAAACGATTATTTGGATAATCGATTAATCGGATGGGGTCTCGACACGATTAATCGATTAATCGGATTACATAGGGACATTTTTAAAAACTGCTAGGGAAACGTTATTTTTCTCCTTCCTTCACTTTATTAAACACAACATTATTAGAAAACAGTTCAATAGCAGAAAAACAACATGCCATCACCTAAATTGTCTTATAAGGTGTATAGACAGAGACCCTAAGCTACACCTATCTGTGACCTAAAATGCTTGGTCCAAGTTAAACAGCTTAAAGAGCAAGTCAACCCCTACCAGAGTCTAACTCCACTCCTGCTTTATGTTTGAAAAATGCAACACATGCTGTTGCCTGGCAGACCGAGAGGGCGGAGCCGCTAACAAATACACACACACTCAGGCTCACGACAGCATTGTGACATCATAATGTACCAGTTTACATCATATCATACTTCTTAGCCAATAGCGGTGGCAGATTTAAATTCAAATACAGTGCAGAGTTTTTACCTGACAACGGCACAACACTGCCAGTTTTAGGCAGAATATTTAAATTTTAACTAAGATGCACTGAAGTGCCAAATTATTGACGACACGTGTCTGCAGCACGATTAGACACTCGTTTATTTAGTTTATCAGCAAAAAAAAGTTTATTTGGGGGTGACTTGCTCTTTAAGGGCAATTCTCATCTGTTTTGTTTGATCTCATCCGTAGACATTTATTATAATTGGGGATGTCAAACAACTAATTTTTAAATGTAATTAAACATCGGCTGTGAATTAATTAAAATTAATCACTACCGTATTTCCAAAAATGACTGAAAAATACCAAATAAAACAAAAGTATATGAATGCCATCCTCCTTGCGATGATGCCCTGGGCAACTGCCATAAAGTCACATCAAGAAATCCTGCTGATCATTCCAATGATCCCAAATAGACTCACATTAGGCCACATGAAAGCAACTGAACCCAAAAATATATTAACCAGTATATAACTGCACTCTCACACAACACGCCTGCAGCAACAGTTAGGACTCCTCCCTCCCTTTTAAAAGCATTTTCGCTTCTGAGGACATTGTGGTTGTAAAACCACATGTTAGTAGTCTGGCCCCGGTGTGATCAACCAGTTTCTGCGGGAATGTGACGGCGGAACCGGTTCGCAGCGGCGCGAGTCCCCCCCCCCCCCCCCCCCCCCCCCCCGCCTATCTAATAGCGTCGCGCTTACGATTTTATGGACTTTTTTATACGAGCTTAGGGCATGTCTAGCCTGTGTAATAATCCGGGGCTTGGGTGAATCACTTTTGAAAAGTTTTTAACTTACCTGGACACCGAGCTCTCTCCCTCCTCGCTGATGATTCTGACATGCTTGCGTTTAAGACGCTGCATCATCACCGTAGTATCCCCGTGCCATGCTAAGTCTGACCTACAAACGTTGAATGTCTTCGCCTGATTTAACTGAAAATGCTCGCAAACTTTAGAAGTTTTTACTTTTTTGGAGTCTCGCTGCTTCTGCCATGTTCCTCTTACAAACACCTGCCGGCTCTCCACCGGTCTGCGCGCAACGGCGGGCGGGAGGGGAGGGGGCTTTTGGAAGAGTTGCGCAACACAACGAATCGATGACGCAATTCGTTGCCAATGCTTTTAGTAATCGATTTTCATCGAATTTATCGATTCGTTGTTGCAGCCCTATTTGTTACTTTTAGCAGGTTTAGAAAAGCAGCAGATGAGACAGCATGTCTGATAATTTAGTTTTTCATCTGATAATATTAGAACATGTCAGTAATGTCTGAGGGGCTTTTATAAACACCATATAACTAACACTACTGGAGAGGGTATGGATTACACAGAGGCTTCTGGGGAGCCCAGTTATGGAGGGAGGGGGGGGGGGGGGCATTTTGCCTTGGCCCCCAAAATGTCTTGAAACGGCCCTGGGTGTGTGACTGAGTGTTGAAGGTGATCTGAATTGTATCAGATGTATAAATATGACATGTGTGTAACTTATTGTTTTATACAGGTAGAAACGTGTAGTGGAGATAAATCTACCTACATTTTACTTTGTTTTCTTGTTTTTATTGAACTATTTTCCTGTCCTGTCTGTCTCTCATCTTCCTGCATCTCCTCTAAACTCTCCAGAAAATCTGCTGCCTGGATTCTTACCTTTTCACCTCATCAGTTACTTTTGAGCAGATCAAAGGGATCTCCTGACCGAAAAGCGCAGAGCGCGTTTTCGATGCTGCGTGAGGTGACATCACCACAGCACAGGTGATGAGCTCCGCAGTAGCGCGCTTCAGGCACAAATAAGACAGAAAATAGAGAACATGTGCAGACAAGAACGATCGTGTGCTAATTATAGTTTTTTGGTTGCGCCACTTTGAGAATGGACCGTGCGCTGGAAGCAGCTGCCTGGATCGCTGTGCAACAATGCGGAACCGGTTCGCAGCAGCGCAAGTCTGCCGGCTCTCCCTCGCGCTGATCTGCCGGCTCTCCCTCGCGCTGATCTGCCGGCTCTCCCTCGCGCTGATCTGACTTGCTCTGGTCTGTGCGCAACGGCGGGCGGGAAGGGGGGGGGGGTGGGGGGCTTTTGGAAGAGTTGTGCGACACAACGAATCGATGACGCAATTCGTTGCCAACGCTTTTAGTAATCGATTTTCATCGAATTTATCGATTCATTGTTGCAGCCCTACTCCAGAAGGCGCTATATCATTTACAGGCCATTTACCACTGAACGCTGACCGTCATTGTGGAACAGTTACCTCAAGAACTGAGGCAGCCGAGCTCATCGAAGCTCAAGAGACACGTTTTCACCCTGACTCGTGTGTCTTCATCTCCAGGCTGAGTTTCATTGGTTTTTATTGTAGTTCTCTTCTGTTTCAGCACTTTGTTTGAAAGCACTTTATAAATAAAGTTTAAATTTTTTTTCCAGTCTCACCTGTAGAAGTGCCTCAGCCCCGCCCCCCCCCCCCCCCACACACACACACACACACAGCCTCAGAAAATTACTCCCTTTAAAACCTGAGCCTGTTTAATGAATAACCTAATTCAGCCTTTAAATAACATAACTATATTTTTCTGTATTCTTATTTTATTGTAATAACTGAGTGGGTCATTTGTGGTAAGAAAGGAGTTCCTGTCTAACATCTTCTGCTGGAGCTACCAACATGCCTTTAACTCTGCTTTTATTTACTGTAATGCATTTAGAGTCCTCTAAGGAGCTCTAATGCTCACACACACCTGCACACACACCTACACAATAGTGAAGTGGCATATTAAATAGTTCCTGAGTGTGAGTGTGTGTGTGTGTGTGTGGGGGGGGGTAACGTCACTGTGTGATGATGACCAATGACCTTAAACTGGGTAAGATTAAAACATTTAATCGGGTCTTCTGTCTGGTTTCAGGTGGCTTCATGAGTCCAAAGCAGAGCTCTGTCGAACGTGATTCAGTGTGGCTCCGTTTCACGTTGTTAGTTCTGACCTGGTTCTGCTGTCTGCTGCCTTTTCCACCACAGATGGGTCCATGTGCTGTGTGCCATCACCGTGCTGGAAGCTCGTTTCGTTAACGTCACCAAACGGAGCCCGGTGGACCTGTCTGCCATCCCGCTGTCCCGCTTCAGACTGGTAGGACCACTCTTCGGGGGGGGGGGGGGGGGGGGGGGGGGGGGGGGCTAAAGAGCATTTCTCTTGCGTGAGACCAATATAAATATAAACAGACAACGCCATTAGATTTTCTAAAGACCTTCATATACTTTTAGAAGAAGAGGTCTTTTCTGTAGCGCCTATCAAGATAAAATCACGAGGCGCTTCACAAAAAAAAGTAAAATATAAAAAAGAATTTAGAAAATGATTAAAAATATGTTTAAAATTAGCTAAAAATAGACTATTGTGATTAGAGGGAGGGAGAGAGAGAGAGAAATCGGTGGATCCTGGGAAAGGCAGAACAAGAGCAATGTCAAGTTTATTTATAAAGCACATTTCCAACAGTCAGAGATGCACAAAGTGCTGCACACAGACGAGCAGTAGAAATAAAACGATAAAACACTGATAAACATCCAGTAGACCCCGAGGTGAAGTAAACCAACGATGAAATCAGGTAAAAGCAAGGGTAGAAAGGTAGGTTTTTAAAAGAGCCTTAAAGGCTGCTAGCAGACCTAATGTGTAGGGGAAGGGGAAGAGCAGAACAAGGAGAGGGTGATGAAGGTCCCGCCAAACATGAGCAGGTGAGTTTAAAGGAGACCACTGAGTCCACTGATCCCAGGATCGGAGGAGAGAGCTCCAGAGTCTGGGGGCCACAGCAGCAGTACAGGCCCTTCTCATTGAATGTGTTGTCTTTATCTTCGTGACCATTTCCACTGGGAGGTTCTCACTGAAGGCATCAACACTATGAATGAACACATGAGGAGGTATTGCTCCACCAGAAGAACTGACATAACTAAACACATGTTTCATGTTCTATTTCCCTTCAGAATGTCCGCCCGTTGCTCTGGTTACTGCTTTACACACTCTTGGTTTTCTCTTGATGAGCTTCCAGAGGAAGTCACCTGAAATCAAGGGCGTGGGGGGGGTTCCCCTCCAATATTGGACAAATGCGCATTTGTCCCCCCCCAACAACATGGAGAAGAAAAAGCTTGATTTTGAAATATTTGACTCGCGAGCTTTTATTTTGAAAGACACCGCGGACTTCTCTCCGACACAGCCCCTCCCCTCAGGGAGTTAGACAGGCTGGCTGAGAGAAGCGGGAGTCAGAGCCGGGGCAGACACAGGTGTCAGAGACAGACGGCAGCAGCTCAGCGAGTTCTTCTCATGAAAGAAAGGAATTGTGAGTTGGTAATAATTTAGTCCAAGAGGATAATTGTATTTCTGGTCAAACGCTAAAATGGCTGACTAGCGTAAACATCTTGCTAGTTAGCATTAGACATTAAACAACACTACTAGTTAACAAAAAATGGCGAATTTGACACGAAATAAATAAAAAAGTTGAATCTCCACATAAAAATGGAGTTTGTACATGTGATTGTTGCTTGTTTGTGACATTCTCATCACATTTCATTTTTAAACCTTATTCATGTCACTTCTTTCATATAAGAGACCAGAGGAAGTTCAGCTAGAAAATGATGAAGAAGGTGAGACCTGCTGAGGGTGAGACAGGGAGCACCAGACCTGCTGAGGGTGAGACAGGGAGAGCCAGACCTGCTGAGGGTGAGACAGGGAGAGCCAGACCAGCTGAGGGTGAGACAGGGAGCACCAGACCTGCTGAGGGTGAGACAGGGAGAGCCAGACCAGCTGAGGGTGAGACAGGGAGCACCAGACCTGCTGAGGGTGAGACAGGGAGCGCCAGACCAGCTGAGGGTGAGACAGGGAGCACCAGACCTGCTGAGGGTGAGACAGGGAGAGCCAGACCTGCTGAGGGTGAGACAGGGAGAGCCAGACCAGCTGAGGGTGAGACAGGGAGCACCAGACCTGCTGAGGGTGAGACAGGGAGCGCCAAACCAGCTGAGGGTGAGACAGGGAGCGCCAGACCTGCTGAGGGTGAGACAGGGAGAGCCAGACCTGCTGAGGGTGAGACAGGGAGAGCCAGACCTGCTGAGGGTGAGACAGGGAGAGCCAGACCTGCTGAGGGTGAGACAGGGAGCACCAGACCAGCTGAGGGTGAGACAGGGAAAGCCAGACCTGCTGAGGGTGAGACAGGGAGAGCCAGACCTGCTGAGGGTGAGACAGGGAGCACCAGACCAGCTGAGGGTGAGACAGGGAGAGCCAGACCTGCTGAGGGTGAGACAGGGAGAGCCAGACCAGCTGAGGGTGAGACAGGGAGAGCCAGACCAGCTGAGGGTGAGACAGGGAGAGCCAGACCTGCTGAGGGTGAGACAGGGAGCACCAGACCAGCTGAGGGTGAGACAGGGAGAGCCAGACCTGCTGAGGGTGAGACAGGGAGCACCAGACCAGCTGAGGGTGAGACAGGGAGCACCAGACCAGCTGAGGGTGAGACAGGGAGCACCAGACCAGCTGAGGGTGAGACAGGGAGAGCCAGACCAGCTGAGGGTGAGACAGGGAGAGCCAGACCAACTGAGGGTGAGACAGGGAGCACCAGACCAGCTGAGGGTGAGACAGGGAGAGCCAGACCTGCTGAGGGTGAGACAGGGAGCACCAGACCAGCTGAGGGTGAGACAGGGAGCACCAGACCAGCTGAGGGTGAGACAGGGAGCACCAGACCAGCTGAGGGTGAGACAGGGAGCACCAGACCAGCTGAGGGTGAGACAGGGAGCGCCAGACCAGCTGAGGGTGAGACAGGGAGAGCCAGACCAGCTGAGGGTGAGACAGGGAGAGCCAGACCAGCTGAGGGTGAGACAGGGAGCACCAGACCAGCTGAGGGTGAGACAGGGAGAGCCAGACCAGCTGAGGGTGAGACAGGGAGAGCCAGACCAGCTGAGGGTGAGACAGGGAGAGCCAGACCAGCTGAGGTGCTACAGTGAAGAGTGAGATGGTTTTAGTGGCTGATGAGAGGAAGATTTGAGTGTAATGATAAGTGAACACAGTTGAATAAATGTAATCCCATTACAAGTAGGGCTGGGCAGTACGGCTTAAGAATACAATGAATACTTCCTTAGAAATATTAGAAAAATAAGTGTTAAACTCTGCTTTCTGGTGCGTTTAGTCTGCAATTTTGGCCACTGTTTTTTCTTTTGTCCGTCTGAAAACTAACTTAGTTCCAGCTGCTGTTGTGAGTGAATGATGTATTTTTCATTCAGTCACAAACAAACAGATTGTTCTGATTGTTGGTCAGCATTGTTGGCTGATGTAGTTTAAAATATTCTGATGAGAGTCGGATCAGTTCAGACTGAATATTCACAGCTTTAGTCTCGTATTAAATCTGTTTACACATCTCTACCCATATGAATAAGATCATATATCCTACATTCATATTATTAAATAAAAATAAAACAGTACTGACACATAAACAGCTTTTTTATCATTAACACGTCCACGCTGGCCAGTAATCAAACCTGGATCTGGCTAATGGGGAGCCTAAGTCTCCTCCCCTTCTGGCTGGCTCACGGGTCCCCGATCAAAAAAACAATAATAATGTTAGTGAACTGGGCTATAAAAGTTATTTCCTTGTCTTTCTGGGCTTTGCCTTACGCCCTGAGTCACATCTGTCAGGCTTTTCTAATCCTAGAGTTTCACCGTCTATCAGATTTTCTATCAGAAGCTACTGCAGGAGATAGCGGTAGGAGACTATGTTCATGTTCAGCCTGCATGAAACACTCAGTGACGTGTTAGAATCACAAATAATCATTAAATGTATTATTTTCAGTGAGGTTGACCTATTTATTGACCTACAACAGATTTGCTAATTTCCAAAATGTGTCCCCCCCCCCAATATTAAACTCGTTCCTACGCCCTTGCCTGAGATGCTTTTCCAGCAGTCTTGAAGGCGTTGCCCGAGGTGTTTAGCACCTGTTGGCCCGTTTGTAAATGCTCATGAAGATAAAGAAAACACACTGAATGAGAAGGTGTGTCCTAACTTTTGGCCTGGACTGTGTGTGTAAATAAAAAATGTTAAAATATGAAAATTTCTAAGTTACCTGAAAAAATACGAAGGAACATCTGTAAAGATGATGCATTTCAACATGGCTGCCTGGTGACATCACAATATGCTAATTGGATGAGTGAATACACAAACGTTGAGTCCTACTGAAGGTGTTTCTCATTTACAGTTGACGTTTATCTCTGACCGTTTCCAAGCTACAACCTTTAGAAACGCTCGCGTACTTTCTTGGGAAAACTCTGGCGCCCAAAAGGTTAACTGAACTCAGACTAGCCGTTAGCTCATCCATCCTGAAGGACATGTTTATTTGGCAGACGCTTTTATCCAAAGCAACGTACAATTGTTAACCTATAGCAGGAGCATTCAATTCCGGGCCTGGAGGACCGGTGTCCAGCATGTTTTAGTGGTTTCTCTGCTCCAACACACTTGACTCAGTGGTTGAATCACCTGGGCAGCAGCTCAGCAGAAGCCTGCTGATGGAGATCAGGTGTGTTGAAACAGGGTAACACGTGCTGGATACCGGCCCTCCAGGCCCAGGATTGAATGCCCCTGCTATAGGGCATGTTGTTGTCTGTGGGGGAAACCCACGCATGCATGGGGAGAACCTGCAACTCCACGCAGAAAGGCTGCTGCTCAGTTTTTGAACCTGCAACCTTCTTGCTGCGGGGCAACAGGGCTAACTGCGCTACCATGCAGGCAGACATAAGCTCTTATCTATGCGATGTAAACCTGGCAGTAGGGTTAGGGTTTGAGCTTCTGCTAGCTTTTTCAGGACCTTGTTAATGTCTGGAAGCAACAGTGTGTGACTTCTGGGTGCCAGTCTGAGTTCTGAGTTGTCTTTTCCTCCCCCTCGTCTCTGCCCGTGGTAGAAGTGTGCGTACTGCAGGAAGCGAATGAAGAGGGAGGTGACGGGCTGCTGTGTCCAGTGCTCCCACGGCCGTTGTTCCACAGCCTTTCACCCCACCTGCGCCGAGGCAGCCGGCATCCTCATGCACCCAGACGACTGGCCCTTCGTAGTCTTCGTCACCTGCCACAGACACCGAGCACCTCTCATACCGGAGGTAAGCCAGCAGCATCCCAGTTGGGCCAACAGGAGCTGACGGGGTCAAGCACCGGTTTTCTCTTAGTGGACATCATTGGTTCTAACATGAAAGGTTGCAGGATGAAGAATCAGTGATGAAGCAGAGTCGTGTAACAAAAAGCAGAAGTGGTGTGTCAGAGATGAAGTCGTCACTAGGGCTGAGTCACCAACAGCAGGTCAACCATGCTGCATCACACTCCTGCATCGGGATGCTCACAACTCATAAATATTCTGTCAGATTATTATTAGGGCTGGGACTTGATTAAAAATTTTAATCTAATTAATTACAAGCTTTGTAATTAATTAATCTCAATTAATCGCATTTTAATCGTTCAGGAAAATGTGCTCTCAAAGTAAAACTTTTAATTAAAATTTTGAGACAGAGAATCAAACATTAGACATGGTTATTACTGTAAACTAAAGCTTTTAATTAAAAAAATGCATTTTAATTATTCAAATGTCACTGTGTGATATGAAACAAGACCCAAATCAACTAAAATTTCTAATTACAAATAGAAAACACCTGCAAAGGGTTCCTGAGCCTTTAAATAGTCTCTCTGTCTAGTCGAATGACTGAAATAAATTTGACTTTGCACCAGATTAATTTTTCCAGTTTCACTTGTTTGTATAATTGGGAGTTTTTATTAGCATTTCTACTCATAATGTAGTAAAAACACATAAATAATAATCCTTCAAAATGACAGTAGAACAGGCACAAATATGATCTAGGACTTAAATGTACTAACTTTTAACACCAGAGCAGGCATGGCATATTCTGAGAATGATCAGGAACACTAACTGGTTCCAGTTGGATGACTGGAGGATGATGGGATGATAAAAGATCATGGCGAGGAAATAATGATGTGACGAACAGGTGAGCGGACCTTCCTTACATGGGAAGTCCTGATGTCACGTTAAGAAGGGGATGCAGCAGACCCGCAGATTCACGCCTGCAGCAGCGAATCTGGTGTGATCTCCAGCCTGATCACCACTTCCTCATTCCTCGCTGCCCCTGATGCACTTAAGCATCCGCCCCTTAGCTGATGACAGCTTCAACACACCTGCTGCTTAATGATAGTAATGCATGTGATGTTTAGACAGAGACTCGTCTCAGAAACGTATAACTCCCCGACAGAATTCATCAGAAAAGTTTCAGAGTGTTTCTGTTTTAACTTAAACTTCTGTTTTCAACTTTAAGACACGTTGTCTGTGATTGTTTACAGAGTAGTGAGAACACGGAGCGTTCTCCCAGCGGCAGCCAGGTGCCTCTCGTTTGTCTGACTACTTTCATAAACTACTGTTAGGACACAGAATTATTCTGTCTGGTGCTTTCAGCGCTGCACAGATGTTACGTAAATGTTAAAAATATAGCTTACCGCTACTTTTGTTAAGTGTCCGGTGCCACCGGGCAGCCGCAGCAGAGACGATCTCTGAAAAATGTCCGCGACACGGACTCCGTTGTTGTCTGGAAGTTTTTTTTTTCAAGTTAAGAAAAGAGGTGGACGTGTTTCCTAAATCCTGCATCAGTCCAAGCAAGGCAACTTCTTTCTGTTTTTATTACGTTTAGTAGCCATTAGCACTGTGCATCGTTGTGTGCGTCAGTGATATTCTGTCTACGAGGAAGTCGTGCAATGAC